TACATATTTTGGTAGCAGCTGATGAGTTCAGAGCAGAGCGGAGAGCCGGACCCCGGACCGGAGTCCGGTGGGAAGGACGAGGCTCCGCTGGGGGGCGACGGAGGGGGCGGCATGGTCACCTCTAAGGGTGCCGCTTTGATCCCAGATGCCAAAGTGTGGCAGGAGATGCCCGTGGCCCCCAACGAGGCTGTCACCAACAGCCCTGATTGCCCCCCCGCAGACATCAGTGAGGGTTATTCTGAGCCTTCGTCTGCGGGGTGTACGCCGCTCACCGTGGGATTCACGGCCCTGGATGACAGCAGCTCCTCGGCAACAGCTGAGATAGCAGTAAATGGAATGGACCCTCCAGAGTTGGGCTTTCCCCCCGCTGAGTCCACCACGGGGACCCCAGCCTCTTCTGTGGTACAAGTGGATGAGAAAGTGCGTCCTGATCACAAGCGGTGCATTATCATTCTGAGGGAGGTTCCTGAAAGCACTCCTGTTGAGGAAGTGCTCAAAAATGACAACTGTCCAAAAGTGATCAGTGTTGAGTTTGCGCACAACGACAACTGGTACATCACATTCCAATCAGACACCGACGCTCAGCAGGCATACAAGTATTTGAGAGAGGAAGTAAAAACATTTCTGGGAAAACCCATTATGGCCAGGATAAAGGCCACCAACCATCCTCTGCTACCAAAATATGTAGCGTGGTACAGAGTGAAGTAGCCCTCCACTACACATTTAATTTGAAAGTCTTTTATTTTGTTCTGCAAAGAGCCAAAATATACATATTATTATCACAGTTCGCCACACACACACACACCGTGACTTCACTCAAGTGTATGTTTACGTTCTCTGAACGTATTCTCTATACTAACACAGACACAAAAGGAACATCTGCATCAACATCCAAACAATAATCATGTCTGTTGCATTGCTATTCCAGACCAGTTTCATCTTGTACATTCAATATCAATTTGTTGCTCCGATACACAGTCAGCCAATCATGTCTACCTAACATTGTCACATTAACCAAATCACTTATGTATCTCTTTTAACTTATTTATTTATCTATTAACTATACACGAGCAGTCCGGGCTCTTTAGACCGGCTCATTGTTCTACTTTCCCGCCTCACGCTCGCTCAAGCTAACAAGGCCACCAGTGCTAACTACTGGCTAGCCATTTTCAGTACGTTACGTTTGCTGAACAAGTAACGTTCATAAACACTACTACATAAAGTCCAACCGGGATCATCAACTCACACATAACATATTCACTCATCAATTACACAATTCCAACTCTCCGTTCTTACCTGCAAAGAGCCAAAATATACATATTATTATCACAGTTCGCCACACACACACACACCGTGACTTCACTCAAGTGTATGTTTACGTTCTCTGAACGTATTCACGCGAGACTTCACTTTGTCCCCAACACCGTGTAGCGAACGCGCCCTCGGCTGGTCGGAGTTAGACACTACATTTTCCAACAATAAACCAACCATTCCTTATCAGAAAACACAAAGACAATTCTCACCACACTCTGAACATGAGCTGTATTAAATGCAAATCATGTTCACCATGTAATTACTAATAATGTAGGTATATCAACCCACTAATGGCTCTGTATGCCACATTTGCAGTATCACAGAGTCTAAGAAACTATAAGAAACTCTATAAACAGATCAGATTAAAATATTCTCTTACATCCAGTACAGCCGCACTCCACAGGTGGGAGCAGGCCTCCGCAGATCGCAGGCAGCAAACAGGTGGAGCCGCTCCGTCTCCTCGCGACGAGCAGGCCCCCGCAAATCGCAGATCGCACGCAGCAACAGGCGGAGCCGCTCCGTCTCTTCGTGACGTCTCCGGAGGAAAAACACCCCAGCATAGCCGCACTCGACAGGTGGGAGTAGGCCTCCACAGTTCGCAGACAACTAAAACCACTACTTGTATAAGCAGGGACGGCTAAAAGTTTGTAAGCAGGAGAGCCAGATGCTGCTAGATGCTAACAGATGCCAACAGATGCCAACAGGCAAGTTCGAGCCTGTAGAAATTGCGACTGCCTCCAATGACAGCGTAGGTGTGTATGCGTGTGTGCATTTGGCCTCCTTTCACTTGGTAAATGCTTTTCGAATTTGATAAAGTTTAAAATTAATTTCTGAAATATTTCGTAATATAGTTGTCTTTGTCACATTTTATTTGGCATTAGTAAATAATTATGCACATTTACAGATATTTTACATGATATGAGTGATAACACGTGTTATAAGGGCTATTTTGCACAATAGGTGTGCCTTGAGATTTTTACTTGTCCTTTGGTGTGCCTTGGGCACAAACAGTTTGGGAACCACTGCCCTAGGGGACCAAGCAGGCGTTTGGGAGACACACCTCAGTAATGCCTTCCTCAACGGACTCACAGCCACAGCGCAAGCCGCGCAGAATGTTGGCCGCTCACAATACCGAGGGAGAGGCAGAGGAGGTTTTCCGAGGCAGAGGACGAGAAGCAAGACCTTCAAACGACGAAAGATGTTTCAAGTGTGGCAGTGTTGAACATTGGATCCGGGACTGCCCACAGAACACTGGCAGCGGAGGCAGCAAGGACGGGGCCATTCACAATCAGACTGACCTACACCAGATGGGGAGGAAGGGGCCCAATCGAGCGAGACGGAAATTCAGCCTGCAGCATCTGAACAGGGAAGTGACACACACACACACATCATGCAGGCTATTGAGAAATTGGAAAATTTAGAAGACATGTCTGTGGTTAAAGAGGGTACATATTTGAAATATGACAGTGAAACAGCATTTAAGAAATGTCCCACACTAACTTTAGCTATCATGGGTGTTGATGTTACATTTTTGGTTGATTCTGGGGCTACACATTCTGTGGTAAAAATGGCAGATTTGCCTGATTGCAAATTCAGTGGTAGATTTATTCACTCAATAGGAGCTGCTGGGGTAACTGTAAAGGAGAAGTTTTCTGTACCGCTTCAGTGTAGAGATAACGGTGATGCCAGTCATCCATTTCCCACATCAGTCAAACACAGTTTTCTTCTATCATCTGTCTGCCCAATACATTTACTGGGCAGAGATCTGATTCTCCGGTTCGGCTTGGACCTCATTTCCACAAATGAGGGTCTTAAAGTCCGACGGCCATCTCCTCTCTCATTTGATGATGGAGTTATGTTGAATGTGTATCAATAGCTGCTGACATATCCTGATTCTCAGGAATTGCTGCGTTTGACTCATCAGCGTGTCTTTCCACCTGCTGTGTTCATGGAGGCTCCTCATTTGCATTGTACTGCTAAAGTTGTTGATGATCCATGTAAATACTATGATGAGAGTTTTCTGTTAGAATGTGTAAATGATGAACTCATGCTTAAAACTATGTATTGGAGTTTGCTGCGCAGCGCTATTTCTGTTACACTCACACCCACACAACACAAGCTGTATCAAATCCCAGGGGCGGTCCCACACATTTCACTAGCCAGGGGCCCCACTGATAGATGGAAGGATTTGGGTCCAATCGTTAAAGATTGGGAGTCAGTCACTGATTGGGCACCTACACACACAGAATATGTTATATACTCTATGTCACGTGACATGTATAAAATGAAAATGTTCACGAACGTAGCCGTTCTGCGCACATTGCTGTTGGTGGAGGATGATGACGTTGGTGATGCCACTTTTCCCGCCTTTACGGGTAATTCTCATATTTCTGAGCTTCCTGCCGCGCTTTCAGATGTGCCATACTCACTCTGGGCAGCTCACAAATATGACGTAGGTTTAATTCGCTCTGCTGAGCCTGTAGTTATCACTCCTAAATCCACGTTCCGCCCAAATCAACCCCAGTACCCATTGAAACGTGAAGCTGTTGAAGGCATTCGGCCAGTTTTTACCTCTCTGCTTAAACAAGGGGTCATTGTTCCGTGTAACGACTCCCCGGTACGCACTCCAGTGTTTCCTGTTAAAAAGGTCCGGGAAAAACCGCCTGATGAATGGAGATTTGTCCAGGATTTACGAGCTGTCGTTCCAAATCCTTATCTCATTCTCTCTCAGGTTCCAGCCTCTGCAGCATTTTTTACTGTTGTAGACCTCTCAAATGCATTTTTCAGTGTCCCTGTACACAAAGACAGTCAATTTTGGTTCGCATTTGAATATAATGGTAAGCCATACACATTCACACGTTTGTGTCAAGGCTACTGCGAATCTCCCACTGTGTACAACCAAGCATTGTGTACAAGTTTGGTCTCTCTCCAAGTTTCTAAAGGCACCGCTCTCATACAATATGTTGATGACCTCATGATTTGCGCACCCACAGCAGAACAGTGTGAAGCTGATACCATTTCCTTGTTAAAACACCTCGCAGCCGAGGGCCACAAGGCCAGCTTGTCTAAACTTCAATATGTGCAAAAGACAGTTACATTTCTGGGTCACATCATTTCAGGAGAGGGAAAAACGCTTTCAGATAAGCGTATTGCATCATTGGCTGCTCTGCCAAAACCTGTCACTAAGCGACAGATTATGTCATTTTTGGGTATGTGTTCATACTGCAGGTAATTCATTCCTAACTATTCTCGAACAACCACTCCGCACAATCACGCATGTCACCGGTTTGAAACCTGCAGATCGCCTTATATGGACGTCAGAAGCCGACGAAGCCTTCATTAACATGAAGCTGGCTCTCCAATCCCCGCCGACGCTAGGTCTACCTGATCCTACCAAGCCTTTTACACAGGCAGTGGATGAACGTGATGGGTGTATGACCTCAGTTCTCCTTCAAGATCATGGGGGAAAACAGAGGCCTGTTGCCTATTTCTCCTCCAAGCTAGACCCTGTTTTTTTAGCGATCGCGGCCACTCTAGTCAATGGGCGGCGCAGCGCAGCGGGTCTGGTGGAATACTGCGAGGCTGCACACACAACGCTCCGCTTCCGCAACGTTTTGAAACGCGCCTGGTGGGTTATGACGCAGGAGGAGGTCGCAGCGCGGCGCAGCCGCAGCGCAGACGCTTCCGGTGGGATCAGGGTGTTAGTTATCACACATGCCTGCTAGACATGCCTAATGAAGAAGTCAAAGATGTACCACTCTGAACCCAGCATCTCTTATGCCTCTCCCAGAAGACGGTGACGAACATGACTGTGTTGCCGAGCTTCTTATTGTATGTACTCCCAGACCTGACTTAAAAGATGTACCCCTGACCAACCCTGACCTCATTTTGTATGTTGATGGGTCCGCCTCTCGCGACCCTGTGGGCACTTATCGGGTGGGTTTCTCTGTTGTTTCAGATTCTGCTGTTCTCTGTTCCGGACCGCTCCCATGCCACCTCTCAGCACAAGCAGCAGAGCTCGTAGCACTCACTGAGGCCTGCACTTTTGCAAAAGGCAAATCTGTAACTATCTACACTGAGTCACATTATGCTTTCGGGGTAGTACATGATTTTGGCGCTATTTGGAAGTGTAGACAATTTTTAAAATCTGATGGAAAGCCAGTACTTAGCCATGTCCTAGTTGCAGGCTTATTGGACGCCATTCTGCTCCCGTCTGAAGTTGCAGTATGTAAATGCTCTGCACAGACGAGCAACACTGACCCCGTCTCATTAGGAAATGTGCTAAATTGACACATGGGTTAGACCATGTGCTGTTCTCTGCATACTCTAAAGAGGGTCATTAATCTCAAGCGCTTCAAGGCCACAGGGCTGAGTTGGCAGACTATGCTGATACTCCTCTTCACACTAAGTTTGAACTTCCATATGCTGATAACCGTTATATTTTCGACAGCTACACATAAAACTGTCTGCCCGCCCTATCTTGTATATAAGCTTTGCTATTTTGTGACTATTAGGCACACTCCTGCAGACTAGTGTTGCACGGTGTACCGATACTGGAAAGGTACCGCGATACCCTGCCGTTAAAAACGGTACGATTCCTCAATTTCATTAGTATCGGTACTTTAAGAATGACGGGGAAAAGTACTCCGGTGAGAAAGTGCCGTTTTAATAAGAGCCGTGTGTGTTCAGCACTCTGCTTCCATTCCCTGCACTGCAGCCGTGCCTGCAGTCCCGCCCCTCTCAAGCACGTTCTAAGTCCCTCCCCTCTCTCGTGCACTCGGCCACGCACTAGCTGCCAGAGCATGTGAGAAAGCGAGAAGCATGGCTGCAAGTGGGAGTGCAACTGCCGCTGCGCCTCGGCTTGTTGAGAAAAAAGACGCCAGAAGCGAAATTTGGAAATATTTTAGTTATATCTCTGACAGTGAGGGCAAGCCTACGGACACCACGAGGCCTGTCTGTAAGAGATGTTTCAGATCCCTGCAAACCAAGGGAGCCAACACATCGAACTTGGCTAAGCACCTCGCCGACCGGCATCCAGAGCTGTTTAAAGAATTTAAAGAAAGACAGGTTAGCGAATGTGATAGATAACATAATTACATCATGCTCAAGCCCATGCCCTCAGAAAATATAAGTCAAACAAGTGTAATTTATTTTGTGACAAACGAACGTTTTCGTAGTTTGACGAGGCAATTAATGGCAATGCTAACTGGCTATCTTTTTAGCTAACTTACCAATGTGGCTAACATCTACAATGTACATTTTGTCAATACTTATTTATATTACTGTACTATTACATGTTAATACAATATAAAGTTAACTATCAAATAAATCACATAAACTCAAGTATAAAGAAGAGACCATGTTGTAAGAAAACACTTAACAGATCATCTACAATTTTATTGATCATGAAAATAATAAACATAAATTACATTAACTGTGAGTCTGGTACTTCAGAACGATGAAGCTCAAACCCAGGATTAGTCTGCCCTGAACACTACTGATGATGGTATCTCACAAACTAATTAACCATCATTTTTCTAACCCATATATTTCAACTACAGAAGTCTGCTGGCTCACAGAGAGTGACTACGCCCACTCAGAATCAACCTACCCAGAATCAACCTACCCTCCAAGCTCTTTTTGAGCACCATATTAAGTACCCAAAGGAGTCCAAAGATGCTACAAGGCTCAACAGGGCAGTGGCAGAGTTCATCTGTATAGACCAAATGCCAATATATGTAGTTGAAAAGGCTGGCTTCAGAAACCTTGTACAGCATCTGGACAAAAGGTATAACCTCCCCTCTAGGAATTTCTTTATGTATAATGAAATTCCCAAGATCTATAATGAGACGAGATCTATAATCAGTGCACAGCTGACACCAAAGCCATTCTTCTCCTGCACTACGGACCTCTGGACCAGCAGAACTGTAGACACATACATGGCTGTAACAGTCCAGTTCATAACAAAGTCCTGGGAAATGCAGTCCTGATGCTTAGGATGCTCTGCATTGCACTCTGACCACACAGCTGACACTCTGAAGGAAGCCCTGGAGGAAATTGTCACAGATTCCTGGGGGCTAGATATGGCCAAAATGTCTGGTATCACAACAGATAATGCTTCTAACAACCGCAAGGCTTTTGCTGACTACACCTGGATACCCTGTTTTGGTCACAACTTACATTTGTCAGTCAACAAAGCCATAGACATTGATCGTGTGGCAAGCTGTCTGTCCCGGATCCGCAAGACTGTCTCTGGCTTCTCAAGATCTAATAAGATGTCAAGACTGCTGAAAGACAAACAGAAATCTTTACAGCTGCCACCACACAAACTAATTCACGATGAGCCCACCCGATGGGGATCCACCTATGATATGGTGGAACGATTTTGTGAGCAGCAGCAAGCTGTCTCTGCTATTCTGGCTGAGGACAGAAAGAAGTGGCACCTGATGCCCAGAGACACAGACATGACAACTTTGGAAATTGTGAGGGACGTCCTGGCTCCACTTAGTGATTTCACAGATGCCCTAAGTGGAGAGAGAGAAACAACAATCTCATCAGTCCTGCCACTCATGTGGAAGATAAGAGCCTGCACAGAAGATGAGGAAGGTGACCGTCCACTGCTGCTGGAAATGAAGCACAGAATTAGAGAAGACTTAGAAAAGAGATACAATGAGCACGATCTGAAGATGATGCTAAACATCTCCACTTTCCTAGATCCAAGATTTAAGAGTACGTTTGTTACTATGGAAGAGGAAGTCAAGAGGGAACTGCTCCTCAAAGCTGAGACCGTTATGCTTCCTATGGAGGAGCAACCAGAAGACTCAGAGGACAATAGAGGAGGAGCAGCTGCTGCGGCTGCAGGGAAGAGAAAAATAAGTGACCTAAAACATTTGCTCTGCAGTATCACCTCAGAAAAGAAGGGGGCAGATCATTCTGGAACAAGACAAGATTCTTCCACACCCACAATACCCACAGATAAACTAAATGGTGAGATCACTGACTACAAGCTATTAACAGACATTAGCCCTGCAGAGGACCCCCTGACCTGGTGGAGTCAACATGAGGTACACCTGCCCATGCTGGCTCGCTTTGCAAAACAGTATCTGTGCATTCCAGCATCCAGCTGTGCATCTGAACGCGTCTTCAGCACATCTGGAAACATCTGCAGTCCTAGGCGTTCTAGACTGACTGAGGAACACTTAGAAACCCTTGTTTTCTTGGCCAAAAATCTTAACAAGGCAAAGGAACTGAATAAAAAATGAAAACCAGCCTGCCACCCTAGGACTAAGGTTTAGTCTGAGTAGGGACATAATCAAGCCAGTTATGCTGCTAAACAGTAGGGCTATGTTCTATGTCTTTTGTCGGAGACCTCATTGCTCGTTTAATATACAAATCTATTTTGAAAAAAGTTGTTTGTTTAATTTTATTTAATACGAATTCTTGTCATTTATTTTATTTATTGTTCTCATTGTTTAAAAGTGTGTGTTATGGTTCTGGTGAATAGTATAGTATATATAGTATGTGTGTGTATAGTGATCTGGTGTGAAATAAAGCACAATAATTACATTTCAGTCTGTTTCCCTTTTTTTAAGAAAAGTATCGCAATTCTTGACTTTGTATCGGTATCGAAACCAAAATGTTGGTATCGTGACAACACTACTGCAGACTATCCTATACTCTGTGAGACATGTTCCTTCGAGGCGCCTCGAATAAAGAACCAGAAAGACAACTCTGTTTGTTTCACCAGTTTCTTGATTGATCATTCTAATTGTATATCTCCACAGTATTGACTAGGTCTAAGATTTCCTCAACAACCTCATCATAGCTCCTCTTGTGTAACCAATCAGGGAGTGAGCTTGGGATGCTCGCGCTGGGGGATAGGCAGTGGCCATAGCACTGTGCATGAGTGTGGACGGTGAAGGAGAGACAGCCTGTTGATTTCATGGTATATCCTGTTTATTGTGTGTGTTCATATACTTGTAAGTATTTGTAAAGTCTGTTATTTATATTAACAAAACTTGTTGTAATGATCATAGTTACTACGAGGGATAATTTGTTTATGACGCGATATCTGAACGTCAGATGTTGATTGATATAACGGGTCGCGATACGAACGTGAGTGTATATAATGATTCCTAATGTTATCGCGGTAAAGTTGTAGGCATTGGAAGTTAACTGTGTACTGTTTTCACGTTGTAGTTGAATATATGCTCCTTTGAGTCTTTTGTGTCTGCTATAATATAACCTCATATGTGTGCTAGTATGGCTGCTACTAGTCTTATGTGGGTGTAATGTTGATATTTATATTAAGTATCCTCTGTTTCTTTCTCTTGCAGAACCACACACACACATATAGGGATGGGTTTTGTTGGAGCGCTGAGTGGTCTGAAACCCACCTCGGCTCTGTGTGTCCTTTTGATGAGCTGGGTTAAATCATAAAAGGAAGGAATTCAAAAGCACCAGGATACAAGTTAAACAATAATCTGTTTTTAATGGTAAAAGACACAATACACTTTACAGAGTACTCTGGGCTCAATTCCACTACCGTGCTACACCGAGACGGTCAGTCAGAAGGGGCGCCGAGCATCAAAATATCATATAATTTATACACACAAGTGGGGAGGAGTTGTGGTGGTTGCTCCTCCCCAGCTATTTGTTATTGGCGATTTCACTTCTGGGCGAGCCCTAGACCGTGAGCTGGTAGTTCTCCATTGGCCAGTTTCACTTCTGGGCGAGACCCTATGCAATGAGTTAGCAGTTGTTGATTCCGTCTGATTCGCTCCCTCTCCTTACAGTGTGTGTGTGTGTGTGTGTGTGTGTGTGTGTGTGTGTGTGTGTGTGTGTGTGTGTGTGTGTGTGTGTGTGTGTGTGTGTGTGTGTGTGTGTGTGTGTGTGTGTGTGTGTGTGTGTGTGTGTGTGTGTGTGTGTGTGTCTAAATAAGGATGTTTCCTGCCATGCAAACTGCTCCTACTCCATACAGAGTAATTAAGCACACACATATATTTAAGCCAACCAACAAAGGTCAACTGCCCCCACATCCCAAGGCCCCCTCTGAACTTCCTCTAAACCCCAAAGTCAGCTCACTTAACATGAATACATATATTGATAATTCAGAAGGACCATTATCCCTCTAACTGTGTGACTCAATAACACACATCTTCTCAAGGCCTCTTTACGCACCAACATTTTTATCGTTTCTTAGCTAATGCATGCTGGATATGAACCACTAATCAACTAGACTTTAATTGTATTAGGTCTGAGGAATCCCCTCTCTTGGAGTTCCTCTGACCTCTTACCAATTCAATTAACATGGGTACATCTGCTGTTAATTTGCAAAGACCATTGATAATTAGCAAAGAGACTCCCGGGCCTTTTCTACTGACTTTCTGAAAAATACTCATCCACGGGTAATCGTTTTACTCAAGGCAGAAATCACAGGTTGTACTGTACCTCACCTACTCACAAATAGCCAAAAAAACACCTTTTGATTATACAGCAGTTGTGGAAGAAAAGACCATTTGTGCTAATCTACTTCTACTAAAAATGGGACATCATTATAGGAATATTTAATATAAAAAAACCTCTATATTTAAGAGGAAAAAATTGACTTGTCCATCCAAGTTTTAACACACATGAATATATATAAAAACACACATATATTAGATGACATTAAAAATGAATATACCAGAAATACGCTATACTAAACTTTCTGCTTAATACGTTATTTTAATACTTCAGTATCGTTAAGGTTTTAACGGTACTACTACTTTTATCGATACCGCTTATCGATCCGGTCCTTTCACGGTACTCTTATCGGTTCTTTTAGAGGTAAACTAACTAAACAAATTGTGAACAAAATTAACATTGCTTTTTATTTACATTAAATAAATAATATTTCACATCAAAAGAAACAACAATGTTTTATCAAACCGTATTAAGTAATCTGATGACAGAATAGCTGAAACTTTAACAAAATAAATAACTCAGTTACCTCTAATCAACCCATGTTTGTATAATTTAGTTAACTCTGTGTGTTGTTGCTAGCATACATAACACCTGACGTGGAAAAGTTACTCGTGGATGGGGCTACAGAGCTACTAGAAAGACGGTCGAAAACGGTGCACTTTTGCAAGACATTTAAACAAATTGCTTGTGTTACCGCTAGGGATGTCCCGATCACCTTTTTTTGCTCCCGATCCGATTCCGATCATTTGATTTTGACAATCTGCCGATACCGATTTTTCCCGATCCGATCTTTATGCAATGCATTAAGAGAAAACAAAGGTAACAGATAACGGCTGGTCATCCAACGCGATGAATTCAGCTATCTTGGCTGTTATTTTGTTGGCCTTTTCACTGTTCTGGGGCAGTTTGTCTTTCCTTTTAAAAGTCTCTGAAAGTGTTGGTTGTTTCAGTGTCGTTACCTGAGTGGCCGCTGTGTACTCGACGTGTTGTTGTTGGTGTTTGTTTCTCAGGTGGCGTATTAGATTGGTCGTGTTGAACGTAGCTCTGTTCTTTCCACCACGCGGAACCTCCGCCTTGCAAACATTGCATCTGGCTGTTACACTGCCTTCGCTTTCAATTTTATAATACTTCCAAACTCCTGAAATGTTCTCTGTCACAACTCCTTAGTCACCAGCTGAACGTAGCCTCTCGTTAGCTTACTGCTACTATTAGACACTGCACCCACTCTGTTGCCAGATTTGAGAGAAATAAGCAACCCGGGGGGTATACTACGAAGCAGGATTTTCGCTTAGCCGGCTAAATTCAGGGAAAACTCCGGCTTTCCGATCCTACGAAGCTGGTTCTCTTTTAAGCAGGCTAGATCTCCATGGTAACTTGTGCTTAGCGGCTAACCTGGTCGGGACCAGGTTCAGACCCGGCGCCAGAACAAATCTAAAGGGAGGGCATATGATTTTCATGGGAGGGCACACAACATCGTCACGTGCTGCGGGCCTGTGGCACAATATATATATCAAACAGCAAGGCCAACAGCATTGCGCAAAGACGCACACTTATCGCAAATACATACAGAAATAAAGGGCAACATAGAAATAAACGTAATAACGGTTCCGTGCCAGCTGATCTGCACCAAAGTACTAATTTCCTTATTTGTTTCCTCGCGTATCTGTCTCTCTCCGCAAACTCTCACAGACATGACATGTGTTCTTTTGATGCCGCATGTCTTAGCAGTCATTTATCAGTCTGTAATGCGTGTTTCCAGTCTCAAAAAACTATGACAGTAAAAGCCGCATCAGATGAAGACGTATTTACTTTAAACTGTCTACAGGGGAAACAAAAGGCTGTGTCTGCTTTTAACGAATATTCAAGCCATGGTCTGTTGTTGTACCATGCAGTGGCAAAAGTGCGCTTCTTTCCTGAAAACAATCTCCCTGGATAACGATCCAGTTTCACCTGGTTGGGATCATCGGGGGCTGTTGGTCTTTGAGCGGTTGCTGGCCCAATAGTACCCGTTGATGTGCTGCAAGGTAGCGTCTATAGTGGAGGCACCGGCACGGAGCAGGAGGAGGATGCTGGCGGGTGTGGTACAGGGTGTGGCAACGCAGGTGGTGATTGGTAGGGGCACAAGGAGCTGTGCCTCGGAGGACAGCGTTGGTGGCGGCCGCCTTGATGAGTCAAGGCTTGGGCTCGCTAACTCAGCCCCGGGGTTTGCCGAGGCGTGCTGCTGCAACGGCAGGTGCAGGGTCGCCAGCAGCTGCATCGGCTGCAGTTCTTTCGTCGCTATTTAATTTTTAATAAATCCTTAGACCTTTTGAGCCAATTTCTGATGTCCATTGTATAATTCAAACATAAATGGGAGTCTACAGAATGCACAATAAACAAATCCAGAATAGGCGGCAGAGTGTGACGCTGTGATTGGTCTAAATGTGGACGAATCACAAATCACAACAGACACATGCATTTATTTGACGGAGCCTGCGATTTTTTTGTTTTAGTTACTATCTGACATCACATACATCGTAGCATAAAAGCTCAGTTTATTTATAACAAAAAATTGTTTTATATATTTTTTTTTTTTATAAATAATAAAAATCGTGTTTATTGGGGGAGGGCAAGAATGTCAAATGGGAGGGCCGGGCATGACCAGGTTAGGTTGCAGGCTAAGAGATAAGCCTATAAAAGCTCCGCCTATCGACCAATGAAATCTCTGTGAAAATGACGTCACCATTTGTAGATGACACTGTGGAGCTCGGATTGTGAGAGGCGCTCTCAGGCGGGAGAGGATTTTTAGGGAAAGAATAAACCCTTTGGCTTTCCCTGAAGAGTATTTGTATGAAAGATACAGGTTCTCGTCAGAAGGGCTGACTTATCTGTGTCAGCTCCTCGAGCCATATATTGCTAATGCCATACATCGGAGTTGTGCCCTTACAGTGCCGCAGACTGTATGTATCGCTTTGCGCTACTTTGCAACAGGCAGTTTTCTGTCTGCCGTGGGGGATGCAGAGAACCTCAGCAAAAATACAGTCTGCAGTGCTATACATAAGGTCGCACATGCTCTGACAGGGTTCGCAGTCCTTTATTGTGTTTCCTGGCACATGTCCCATGCAGACGATCAAAGAGGGATTTTACAGCATGGCAGGTAAGTGATTATATCTTTACAGTGAATGTTGTTCCTATGACGTACACTGTTGTATAACAAATGCA